TGCTCCCAGAATATAGAATTTTATACAAACTACAGAAGTTAATGCTGGACTAATCACTTATTCAGTGTTTTAAAATGAGAATATTGAGATAAGCTCTAATACTTTAGTAAGGAAGTGTTCACTCAACTGCTACATCCACAGACTCCATAAAAAGTCTTAAATTACTCTAAAATCAGTCATCTCTTATTGTTTTTTTTTTGTCTTCCTGGTGCTTGGGATTTATTTTCTCAGTGTTAGCTAAATATATTTAATTAGTTTATATATATAAAGGTAATTTAAAGTTGCTTTTGTAACTTTCTTAGGTCATTAAATAGAGGGGGGAAAAAAAGATAATAGGGCAATGCCTGGATATCATCATTGTTTCCCTGGACTCTGATGCAATTTAGACTTGTCTCTGGAATTTTGAAATGCCTGTGCAAAGAGCAATTATGATCAATTAGTGCAATTATAAAAGGAGGGTTTCAGGCTCTTCAGGGATCCCAAAAACAATCAGATCAGTTGAAGGTACTGGGGGAAGAACAGGGAAGACATTTCAAGGCACCTGGAATACCTGGAGTTGCAATGCCTTGGAATTTGGCTCCATAGATGAAGGAATAAAGGAGATTTTAATCTCATCACAGTTTTGGGGCCATTCTTTATGACACCCCTGCAGTCATGTAACAATGGGAATCCCTCAGTCTTGGCTCCATCAGAAAGTGGAATTTCGAGGATAATGAACTGCCCAGGATGAGGATCCAAGAGTTTCAGCTTCCTGTCAGGTAGCCTGGGATTTTATCCTCGTGTCTTTTCCCAGTGTTCACCAACAACAGGGATTTAAACCTTGTCCTGGGTGTGTGTAGTTCTTCTGTTCCCTTCTCAGGTCTCAGCCAGTTTCCACCAAAGTCCTTTTCTTGGCTTTAATGGCTTTAGAACCAGATCCTTTCCCAAGTGCCTGTCCCTGTCCTTGGGAACTTTGCTGGATCAGGGAGGTGGAAGTGAGGAAGCCTTTCCCCTGGAGAAGTGAGTGCTGTCCACCCTGAATTCCCTCCCAAATCCAGCAGTTCCAGGGTTATCCTACTCACCTTCCCTTCACTGGCTCTACTCTGCCCACATTCCAAGGTTTAAGTGTGTGGCTGCTGGGGCAGGGTTTGTTTTTCCCTTTGTCCTGGAATTTGTGCTGTGTTTCCAGAGCCCCAGTTCTTGCCCTCTGCTCTGGTGTCCAAGAAAACTGTCACTTCAAAGTCTTTTACTGCTGTTTGATTTCCTCATTCTCATCAAGAGGATTAAAAAAACCTTGAGAAGCTGCAACGTGTCTTGTCTGTTTGCAAAATACACTTAATTTTGGTGAGCACAAACAAGATCATGGGATAAAAGAGGGGTGATGTCTTGCTGGAGTCAGGGAGAACTTTGTTGGATAAATATTAGAAAAATCAAGTTGTGAAAGAGTTCATATATATTGTAAATATCCTGACAACTTGATGTTATCTTTCCCTGTACTTCCTGTGTTTTAGAAAGGGTGGGAGCTGTCAGGTTATTCCAGTTAAGCTTGGGATGCTCAGTTTTAAGTTCATGTAAAGTTTTGTCCTGTAAAGGACTTTTCCTTGACAGAAATCTCACTGGAAATAATGAGAGTTTTGCCTTCACTGATATTAATGTTTCATGCCAGGATTTGAGGGGAGGGATGATTTCCTGATATTTTTCTAAATAAAACTTTCTCCTACATATTAATTCCCAAAAGATCTATTCCAGTTCCATTCCCCTCCCATCAGAAGAGCCCAAACTGTGTATTAATTAATTATATTAATATACTAGGAAATAAAAGTCCTTGAATGCAATGTAACTGAACTGATAATAAAAGCCAGAACAACTTTCAGAGTTACAAAATTAATTCCTTTTTAGGGGAAAGAAAGGTAAGGTCACATTTTCCTGCCTAATTATCTTCAGGTCTTCAGTGATTGGGATCTTTCCACGTGGATGCTCCTCAAGTTCAGCCTTGGTGATCATTTTTAATCAGACTTCAGTGGAAATGTTGAGGTAGAAGCCCCAAAAATGTGTGTTCTCAGGAAGTGGCAAGTTAAAGGTTCAGTATAAGAGTTTGTTGTCAGAGCTGTTTGTTGCCTCATCAACACCAGGTGGGAATTTTCCAGGTTGGGATGGAGGAATCTCTTCCAAATTCTCTGCTCAGCTGCTTGGGTTCAGGGAATTTGTTGCTTTATTCATGAGATCCTCATGCCACAGTGCAGGATTTACAGCTCAGCTTTATATTCAGGACTGCTTAACTTGGGAGAGAGCAAAGAAACTGGGCTTTGGAGTTAAAAATTAACACTGTTCACGTGCAGGGAGTAAAAACCCCGTTAGTGATGAGGAGCTGAAACACAAGAGCAAAATACCTGCCTTGCCTCATGTGCCTGCTCCTTTTAAAGCCTCTTTTTATTAAGAGCAGGGAAAAAGAAGCTGGGTCATGGAGCAGCTCCCATTTCTAAGAGCATAAACAGCACAGAACAATATTCCCCTTCCACTGGCAGCCACCTGGCTGGAAAAAATAATCCCGAGGGTCAAAGAGGGGAGAGGGGCCCTTTGCTGTGCCTGCCATCTTGGCTGGGGGCTCCTTGCCCTCTCCTGCTAATTGAGGTGTTATTCAACAAGGGATCCTGCAGCTCCTAAAGCCCAGGAAAGCCGGGTGTAACTTTAGACAGCTCCAGGAGCTGATCCAGAACGGAGAGGCCAAGGGATGGGAGTTATTTGTCACAGGAACATGCTCTGGGAGCTTGGCTTGCTCCAGTGGCAGCAAAAATCAGGGGTAGGTCTGGATGGCTGATGAAGTTCTCTGGCCAGAGGTCAAAACTTCAGTCCTTCAGCCCTTTAATAGGAATTAAATTACCCCTGGGGAAAGGGAATAGTTTATTATATTTATTTTCTTCTATTTCAAATAAACGGCAGGAATTTTTTCTCTATATTAATGTTATTTATAATTTTCTGCTGGAAATTCTGACTGTTAGTACTAGGACACAGCAGTTGCATAAAGGAGATATTTTTGGACCAAAAATATGGAATCCCAGGGTGGTTTGGATTGGAAGGGACCTTAAAGTCCATTTAATTCCAACCCCCTGCCATGGGCAGGGCCATATTCCATTACCCCAGGTTGCTCCAAGCCCTGTCCAACCTGGCCTTGGACACTTTCAGGGATCCAGGGGCAGCCACAGCTGAAGGGATCCTCCAGTTCCTAAAGCCCAGGAAAGCCAGGTGTAATTTTAGACAGCTCCAGGAGCTGATCCAGAATGGAGAAGCTGCAGGATGGGAGTTATTTGTCACAGGAATAACCCTCAAACGTGGTCTTGCTCTAAAAGCTGCCCAGTCAGGCTCAGCTACCTGCACAAATCTGGATATATATATGGGAAAACATCAATTTGGAAGTGATGCTGTTGCTCAAATAATTGGAAATAATTATGGAGTGGCAATACCATTTTTATTCCTGCAGTGGTTTGTGTGATCCAAGATATCAGAGCACACTTTGCTCTGCTTGGTTTTCCCTCTGCTTCAGCTCTGGAGAGCAGCTCTCCCTGCACTTTTCCTGAGGGAAATGTGAAAGCTGCTGGTTCAGACCCGTGTGGAATTGATTTTTGTGGCTGCATGGAATAAAATGGCTGATGGATGCAGATAAGGAGGTTATCCTTGTGTTGCAAGGTACACAGCATATATATAAATATAAATATATTTCTGAGTTTATGTACTTTAGAACCGAGGTGACAAACCCACAGTGCTGCCACTTAAAAGCTGCCCATGGGCCTGTGGCTGTTAAATTAATTCCTTCCTTTACTCTTGAGCTGGGACTTGGAGGGCTGAGGAAGGAGAATGAACTGTATCCATGGGAATATCCATGGAATTTTGTCCCACAGAAGCTGTGGCTGCCCCATCCCTGGAAGTGCCAAGGCCAGGCTGGACGGGGCTTGGAGCAACCTGGGCTGGTGGAAGATGTCCCTGGTGGAATAAGATGATCTTTAAGGTCCCTTCCAGCCCAAACCATCCTAGGATTCTATATTTTTGATCCACAAATATCTCCTTTATGCAATTGCTGTGCCACAGCACCAACAGTCAGAATTTCCAGCAGAGAGAGATCTAATTATAAATAACATTAATACAGAGGAAAATCCCTGCAGTTTATTTGAAACAGAATAAAATAAACAAAATAAACTATTACTTTTCCTCGGGGGCTAATTTAATTCCAGTTAATCCCTAAATTTCGTGCAGCCTGGCACTGGTTTAGGGGGGAACTTTTCCCTAAATCCAGGAGCTACATGCCCAGATCCACACACGCTCCCAGCAGCTGCCTGGGGACAACAAGGGCAGCCTGTGCCAGCTGCAAGAATCCCTTGTGTGTTGGCTTCTTCAGAGGATCCTGCTCTGGGATAATTCCCTTTGTTTCCAGGGAAATCAGGGCTTCCTTTGTCAGCAGCTGGGGGGTGACACCACTTAGGTCTGGGTGACACCCTTAGGTCTGGTTTAAGGATGCAAAGCTGAGCTTTGCCCTGTTAACACACAGGTTTTACTCTCCAACCTGGTTACTTCTTAACCAGAGCTCTCAGTCTGAGTTGTTTGCTCACAGTCCCACCCTAAACACTGCACTTGAGCACAAAAACACTCACAAAAAAGCAAATTTTAGCTCGGCAAAGCTTCAAAACACCAAACAAACCCCTCCCTCACCCAGTGGTTACTGGTTTTCAGCAGGTGGGGAACTGGGGCTCGGTGTTCTGCAGCTTTGGGGTGATGGGACTCCCCATTCCTGCCCTTTCCCTTCCTGCTGCTCCTCTAATCCCCTCCACCAGCACGAAACCCTCCATAATCACTACCCATATTACTAATTATTAGTTAATTATTTCTTCCCCCTAGCCCTGAGCAGCTCGTCCCCATCAA